GATCCCGTTGATCGCCATGTAAATGCTCGCAGTGAGTGATACATTTCAATTATGTGTTCCTATTCAACGGTTCATGTGCGGCCCCTGCCGTTAGCTCTCACGCGGAAAACCTTGTCAGGCGCCGTTCCATTCTTTGCTTCTTACTGTTTGAGGGTGAACTTTGTGTCTATAACAACGTGTTCAAACTTTGTTAATAACAAGGGAAGATCCTTTTGAGTTATTGTAAATTGATAAATGAGATTTTTGCATGATTCATATGCACTTAACTTTGTATTAACTTTCATCAATAATTTAAATATATCAGTTATTGTACTTGTTTGAAAGAGCTTTCCGTAATTAAGGCCAACATCTAAATAAATTTGAAACCATAGAATATTTTTAAAAGACATGAAGGCATTCGTGTTTATAGTGGAATTATATTGAAGAGGAGACGTCATGAGCTAGCTGTAGGGAGTTCCTATTGCCGCTTATAGTGTGCAATAGGTATGCTCCACATGAAGCAATTATAAATGTGTCAGCTGCCGATGTGGGCTGTCAACGTTGATTCTTCAGAAATACATGAAATATGCTTTTATTTATAGTAAATTAAAATTATTTTTAGAAATCAGTTTAACGATTGGCAAAATTAATATATAGCACAAAAGAAAAACTTCAAAACTTAAATCAAATTATTTATATGTTTGAAGTAAATATGTTCATCTCAACGAAAAAAACATTGTATGCTCTTAGCTAAGAGATAATCTCCTAGAAATAAAGATAAGATAATTTCATCATTTTGTACCATATGACTTTTCTAGATGATGTAAAAATACATAAGAAAAGACAATCTTATCAATCGGTGTAGATTTTCTTATTTGCCTTTATATGAGCATAAAATAGGATTCCCCTAGCTTTTGTTTTGAGCAACAGGATTCACCTAGCTATAGCGTGCAAATGTCAGGCCACACGGTGTCACACATGCTTGATTGCGTAGGTAGACCAAAGGGAATCTAGCTGTCCAACGAGGCCCACATAACTTGCGTCAATGTCAGCTTATGAAGTCTCCAAGAAGATTAATACTAAGTACATAAGCGGCCCAACTTTCTAGAATGTGGTCGGATCTCCATTCATGCTAGACGGGTGCAATTCTAGGTTCTAAGAAAAGTTGCATATGCAATACCAGCAGGATTCCTTGTTGTCCAGAAGTTACTTAGTTTCCGAAACTTTTTATTACAAGCTTAACCAATACATCAAACATCACACACATCATATTAAACATCACACGACCAAGCACATGCACACACCTATAGTTACCAGCTAGGCTGGGTAGCTTGCACGTTTTGACCGACGGGGCCACCGTGTTATTGAACAACGACACACATGTACACACACACACATTATAGAGTGACCAGCCAGGCTGGGTATATACGCATATGAGGGCTCAGTTCTTGATATAGGCACCAATGGCGCTGAGGTAGTCGTCGGCTTGGGCGCAGAAGGCCACGATAGAGCCATGCATGAGAGGGACGCGGAAATAAGTGTCGGATCCAGTTGCTGGCCTCACTTTTCCGAATGGTCCATGATGCCTTGGGGCGTCGGTGGTGCGGAAGGAGAGTGAGGTGATGTATTGGCCATTGGTGTAGCCGGAGAGCTCGATGACACGCACATTTGTCAAGTGAATAGTCTGCAAGCATGATCACAAGAAATAATTCACCCATGAATGAAGAAATTAACCCCGCAATGTACATTGGTTAAGTATTAATTATGACGGAGAAGTGTATTTTGACATGGATGGAGTACCTGGCTTTTCTGACCACGGAGCGGGGTGCCCCACGGACCTACCGGGATTGCATTGTTTTTGGTGTCGACGAAGGTGAAGCGTATGGCGTTGATGACCCCTTCATGCCCCGGTGTGCTCCAAATCTCCATGCTCCTCAGGCTTGACGGTGCAAAACTTGACAATCCGGTGATGTCGCAGACATCACCTTTTGACCCGCCAAACATGCCAACCTTCACCGTCGACATCTTGTTTTGGGAGAGATGGGTACGTAGCTAGTTGGGAGTATGTTTGTGTGGTAGACCTTTGCAGGGAAGGCTATGGCTGCTTGTCTGTTTTTCTCCTCCAAGAACAAACATGGGGACTATATTTATAGACACAATCCAGAAGGGTGTGCTAGTCAAGTCAATGCCTTTATCAACCCCCGCAAAAAACAAAAGAACAAAATGTCAATGCCTTATCATGGCGTGCCTACGTACCCATGCAACTGCTAGCTGCATGTCATTATGGATTCATACGGGATTTCCTATATAATTTGTTCTAGATAGGGATCCATCCATGCATCAAGTGGCGTGCACTGCTTTGGACGCACGAGATCACGATACCAGCGCTTAACGTAGGATTATGAGTTTGTAATCCTGGCGCCCGCCGCCGGCGGCTGGTACGTACAGGCTGCTGTTCTCTCGATCGGACTCAACTGGCCGCCCCCCTGCTTCAGTTGGACGCCAAAGTGATGTCTACAGTTGTACACATCATCCAATGGCTTCTACTCGTTCCTTAATACCTTTTCTTTTCCAAGTTTAATTTTGTCTTTCAATAAATGTTCGGAAATTTCAATGAATGTTCATGTTTATCAAAAAAAATGTTCTGAATTTCAGAAAATGTTCCTGTTATTAAATTTTCTTTGCAAAATTGAAAAAGTGTTTGTGTTTTTTTAAAATTCGCCGTTTCCACATTTTGTTCATAAAATCAAAAAAATATTTAGGGACCGGTGGTACCCGGAGAAAATGTTACCCGAAGGAAAGGACTAAACCCATCTGTTCAAGTAGTTAAAAAATCATTTTAAAAAAATGTTCACAAATTCAGAAATTATTTAGGTTTTTGGAAAATCTAAAAAATGTGCGCGTTTTTTGGGAAAATTATCAAAATAGAAAAAACGCACTCACTATTGTGTCCGGTTCGGTACAGTGAACGGGTCGCTACAGTAACCAGACCGCCGCGGTGAACCGGGTTGCTACAGTAGCCGGACAGCTACAACAAACCGGGTCGCTATGGTAGCGGACAGCTACAACAAATATTGGGACATAGTCCACAACCCTTTTGAAAGGAAAAAGGCATGCACGGTAAGAATCAGCTTGCTTGGTCATGTAGTGGTCGTGCTTTCAACGCTCATAAACTCCTCGTCGGCGACGAGCCCCGCGAGAACCTCCGGTGGGAGGAAAACCCACAGAGCCACGCTCCCCCGCTGAGTCTAGGCTCATGGCCGACCTGCTCCGCTACCCTTGCGATCCCCCCTCCCTCCGTATATGGCAGGCAAGGAAGAAACATGGGAGAATCATAGTCTCAACAGCAGAACCCACTGGGCTGGCCCATTTAACCTATTCTCGTTCGTTCCGGTTATGGGAAACTTCTGTTAGCAAGTTTTTGTCCAATTTTATTGGTTGTGAGAACTTTCTGTAAGGTTCCTAAACCCTTTTTTTCCTTTTTCTTTCTCATTTTTATTTCGTTTTTTTCATCATTTTATCCTTCTTAGTTTTCCACCCCCACCCCCCAAACATGTTCGGGAATTTGAAATATTGTTTCAAAATTCAAAAAATATTCATGTTTGTGCAACAAATAATATGAATTGAAGAGTGTAGCATTTTTTATAAATTATTCAGAACTTAATAAGATTTACGTGATTATATATTTTCTTCAGAAATTCAAAAAATGTAGTGTATGTGTTATAGAAAAACAAAATCATGTCTTCAAATTATGTTCATAAATTCAAAAAGGCGTGTGTTTTTTCAAAAAATTGCATGATTTCAGAAAATGCTTCTGTTGTTAAATTTTATTTGCAAATTGAAAAATATTTCCATTTCAAAATTTATTAATAAATTCAAAAAGTGATTGCATTTTCGAAAAAGGTTAGGGAATTACAAAACATGTTTGTATTTTTTAGAATGTTCTAAATCTCAAAACATGTTCCCTTTTCAAATTTTGTTCACAATTTGATAAAATAGTTGCATTTTTTTGAAATATGTGTAGAAATTTCAAAAAATTGGTCATTTTTTTTTGAAAACACCAGTTCATTACGGTGAACCGGGTCGGTACAGTAACCAAACAACTATATTGAACCAGGTTGCTGCACCAACCAGACCGCTGCAATGGACCAGCCCAGTCGATGGCTTGTCTGTGTGAAACGACACCAAATGACCAAAGTACCGCAATGAGCGTCACCTAGGAACTATTAGAAACAGGGGCGTCTTGGTTAAATAAAAAAAAAATGTCGTGGGCCTTCTCAGGATGGAGATAGTAAAGCGAGATAATGGAAGATTTAAACTATTTTTCTGCTTGCGGATATGAGGCCGAGATAGTGAAGCCCAATAACCGATGGGCTTCTCTCGGGACTACAGAATAAACTTAGACCAAATAGTTCTAAGATATTTCTCAAAATAAACTAAGACATTCTTAAAACAATCTCAAGGAAAATAGTTCTAAACAATCCAGATCAATTTCGTAATATTTTCAACTTGCTTCACTCATTTCTTGCGGAGTGAATATCGCAAAATCACACAAAAGACTTGTTTGAAGTCAAACTACGCAAAGTTTGATCAAATTTATATTAAAAATATATTGAGATCTACAATACTAAAGTTATATAGTATGAAAATTAATTTTATAATTTTATATTTCTGAATGTTGAAATTTTTTCCTATAAAATTGGTTAAACTTTACTTTACAAAGTATGACTTCAGACAAATTTTGTATCTTTACCTAATGATAAAAAAAATTGGGTTTCTGGTCGCCCATCACTGCAGTCCCTGTTTTAGTGGCAGTCGGAGAAAACGTTTCGTTCTTAAAAAAGCAGCCTGCGGTTTTAGTATTCAACCTGTGGTCACGTCCAACGTGAGAAATAACAGAGTTTCTGCTCGTGCTTCCAACCGTCACGCACGCGAGCAAACTCTGTTTGGTCGTGCGTTCGTTGACTTCGTTCGTGTCATGCGTTGATTCCGTTCGTTTTTTATCCCACGTCGCTCCCTTAAAACGATTCTCATGAATTTATACACATTTACATGTTATCCTTCATATCAACCGGCCTCCTTAAAACCAACAAACTGACAGCCAATACATGGGAGAGAAAGGAACGAAGGAACCTTGGGTGAGGCAACAAAAAAAATCCTGACCATGAGAATCAGGAAAATAGGCGAAAAAGAATTAATCCCACCGGCGACGCGGACACTGGAGGTCCTTGACACGGGCATGACGGGGACGACGGGATCCGTCCGCGGCGCTCTAGATGTAGGTGGTCTGGAACGGGGGCCGTCGGCGACTTGACTAGCTTCACATCGGCCTGCAAATACACTTAACAGAATTAGATCGCGAGACGAAGAAATATGAGAGGGAGAGAGAGAGAGAGAGAGAGAGAGAGACCGGGGGGAGGGGAGCGGACGGGGATCCGGCTGCAGCGCTCCAGTGGAAAGAGACGCTGTGGAGACTCCCAAGATTGACACATGCCTGGGAACGACGCTCGCGGGACAGCCGGCTCCCAGCGCGGCAAATTCCGCTGGCTCTGCAAGAGTTGAAGGAACGGATGCGCATATTAGTGGAAGCAGAAGATATGGATGGGGATGAGAGAGAGATGGAGCGAAAGAACGGGATGAGAGGACATTAGATGCATCTCGCTGGACCCAAATGGCTAAAAGCGGTGGAGGGTACACGTATCGCCTGATGGGTTGTCTACGTGCCAGCTGCTCGACCACATTTTTATCAGCTGGCTGGACACGGGAGTTGGGCGTTTGCCCTTTTAGTGCAAAAGAAAAATCATCGGAATGAATTTGAAATAAAAAAACCTTCGATAAAAAAAACTACATGATCAAAAATCATTAAAATTCGGATATTTTGATAATGTTATAAAATACTATAGATGAATTATTAAACTCTCAAAGAGTATATAAGGGCATCTTCAACGTCAACCCTCAAAATGCCCGCAACTGTTCGGACCATCCGGATATACTTTTTTTTGTAAACCGGAAACAAACTGGTGGCTTTGTTGGCGTTCGGACCAATGCCATGCTCAATTCTGATTGCCCTAACCCACCCAAAAACCCTTCCCTCCCCATGTCCCTTCTCGACCGAAGTGGCCAGCGCCGCTCCAGAGCACCGGTGTTGCGTTCATGCTGCCCACCATTAACCACCCTGCCGCTTGCCTTGTCCACCGCCACCTAATTGAAGTCCAGCCTCACCCATCCTCCTTCTCTCCCTTTCTCCTCTCCACACGATGCCCGTCATGGCCTCCTCGAGCTCCAAAGCCATTTGGGACAGTCTCTCGTCCGAGTAGAAGACGGAGATCACCGCCATTGCTGCCGGCTGGCAGGCTAGCGGGGCAGACGGAGGCCGGCGTTGTGGACGTCCCAATGGAGGACGTGGCTGACAATGAGCTAGCGTCACCCCCTCGCCGGTCCATGTCGGCATCTCCATGGGTGATGCTCGTGCTCACTACACCGAAATGGTGTTGGCCGAGCTGGAGGCCTTATTCCGGTAGGCGCAGCCGACCATGAGTACAACACCCGCCTCCTCGATGAGCACCGGAGTGTGGTGGAGCACCTCGCCACTGTCACGACAATCGAGCGATTGTGGACTAGCCGAGAAGGAGGCGCTAGTCGACTCCTATCGCACCGCTTGCCAAATCCGTCGCGACCGGTGGAGGTACCACCAACGTCAGGCAGGGCTAGAAGCCGCCTTCAAGAAGACCGACGATGTGGTCGGCGAAGTCTACGGCAAGAGCAAGGACGAGGGTGACGCCGCCAGCTCTGCCACACCCGCGCCCCAGCGCATGACAATGAAGTCGGCACGTCCAAGGGCGTCGACGGCGGCAAGGAAGAGTAGCGCATGAAGGGTCGCCGACGCTCTGGTCTCAGGAAGTCCACCGCCCTTTCGTCAGCCGATTAGCCGCTTGCAGGCTGCTGAGGCGGAGGCTACAAGGTGGAGTTAGAGTTTCAGTTCCCGAGGCTCATGGCCGGCCGAAAATGGGCAAACGAGCGTCGACGGTCATTTAGACTAGGTTTAGAGTATGGTTTAGTTCAAATATGTCAAAATGTAGTTTGTTTCCTCCAGTCAAGATGAAACACAACAGGTTTTATCTAAAGGTTATTCAAGTATGAATTATCTAAAAGTTATCCAAGTATGAATTAATGTCGTCCGGTTTGTCTAAATATCCCTCAAATTTGTTCACTTTCGCTAAATTTCTTCCGAAATGCAATCAGACATGACCTCCTCCCACATCCGTGGGCCGGTCCTCCAGGTTCGCGGACGGATGCAGTGTCTATTTTACAGGTCAGTGTTGGAGAGTTGTCCTAAGAATCACATTGTATATTTCTCTCGCTAAAAGACTATTTCCATGCACTTGTAAGAATCAAATTGTATGTTTCTCCCGCTAAAAGACTATTCAATGCATCACTACTTTTTCATTCGATGGAAGTGCAGAGTTTAAGTATGAGTCGATTAAGGACGTTAGGGTGGCTTCTCACATCAACACTTCATGATCCAAATAAGGATAATTCAACCCATGGCAACACATCCAGGATAACCTTATTTCCAGGTTTGTCAGAATTGAATATTAGTGAAGCGTAGTGGCAAGCGAATCAGGTTTGTCAAATTTTCCCCGTTGCAACACAGGGGCATATGTACTAGTGCAGAGTAAAAAAGCAATGAAGAGTTCTAGTCCACAACCCTTTTTTCAATTTTTGGACAACCCGATGCCACCCGCCAAAGTTTGACAAGTCTCGACGCATGGATATTAAAAGGAACATTTTCTCTTTGGAAAGCAAGTAAGCAGCTTGAAGCATGGTTTAATCCACGAAACTGATAGCACAGGGTACAGGTTCAGTCCCAGATTCTTGTCTACCAAACGATAGGGCGTTTCAAGCCATGAATTTAATCCCAAGCTTGGTCCGCCGCTGAAGCCATCACCTGTGCTTCAAACATGGCACCAGAAAATTACTTTGCATGCGCGTCGACAATCAGTCACGCCGTGACCGTGCTTACCGCGCTCATGAACTCCTCGTCGGCGACGAGCCTCGCGAGCACCTCCGGCGAGAGCCACACCCCGAGAGCCATGCTTCCTCCGCCGTCTCTACCCTCGAACACCGTCGCCGTCCCGCCCATCTTGTTCGCACGGCCACTCCGCACGCCCACCGGCCGGCCCCACCCGAAGTCGTTCCCGTACACGTCGAACCGCGGCGAGCCACCCGTCACCATCTTTGCCGTGGCCGTTGGGCGCGCACGCAAGAAGTAATGCTCTTGCGGCCAGGATGCATGTCTGTCCCTCTGAGTTGCCACGTCGAACGACGCCACCGCTCTGTTCAGCAGTGACCCGGTCCAGCCCAGCCCCCTTTGTAGGATCTCGCCGGCGGTCGACACCGCCTCGGCGCGTGCAACGGCGTTGCCGGCGTACGCCGCCGGCAGGCCATCCACGCGGCCCCGACATCCGACGAGGATGACGTACGTCGTCCTGTGGTCCGGTGCCAGCCTCCTGGCTCGGGTCACCGCGATCCACCATAGGTGCGCGAGCAGGGCCTGCAACGACGAGATGGTGGTGGTGCCATTGCTGGTGCCGGACATCTCGGCGTTTGCCTTTGCTTTGAGCTTCTTTACCATCTCGGCCGAGAAATTGAGGAAGCATTCCACCTTCACAGATGATGGATGCTCATCTGCAGTACGCCGGCTGACCGGGATGTCCTCCAGCTTGCCGAAGGGCAGAGGGATCGGAACAGGGCAGCCGTCGAGGAACCACCTCCGGTGCACCGGCAAAGGAGAGGAGATGTCGGCGCCGTCACTCTGACGGCTGATCTCCGACCAGGTGTTGAAGAGGTGCCACAAGGCCGAACCGTCGGCGACAGCGTGGTTGAGCGACATGCCGACGAAGACACCGTCGGCCAGCTCGGTGACCTGCACGGCTAGGAGCGGGTGCGAGCCCGCGGCAGCGTCGACGCCATGCAGCCCATCCAGCGGGAAGAAGGACCGGACCAGCATCGGGGTATACAGCGGCGCGGTGACATCGGCCACGGTGACGCCGGGCGCCACGGCATGGACGAACTCGGCGCCCTCCATGCTGCAGCGAAGCGAAATGGCGATGCTCCCGCCCGGCTCTCCGTCAGCCTAGCTCCCCACAGTGACGGCGAGGCGACCGGCGTAGGGGTAGAAACGGCCCAGGGCACGCGCGAAGGACGATGCCAGGCGTTCGACGACGGCGTGGTGTCCCCGTCCTTCTCCTTCTTGTGTGGCGGGAGGGTTGGGCAGGACGATGCCCTTCTGGTTGTACTCCAAGGCGACCATCGAGAGGTCCCACGGCGTGAGGTCGATGGTCCTCTCCGGCTCCGGCGGTAGCGAAGTCGGCTCCGGTAGGACCATGCGGCGCGACATGATCTGGACATGGTTCATCATGGTTCTGTTCTTTCGGCTGCGGGGAGTCGTAGCGAAGAAGATTGTTTAATTTGCTGTGACTGGCCTATGGACTCCTCTATTTATATGGTGATTATATCAGCATCAAATTGTGCATCAAAGTTTATGCCGGATCAGATCAGATATGTTAAAGAAAAGGGGAAATCTGCTCTGATCGAATCGTGTACAACAGACTACAGAATCTAACAACTATACAATGATATCATGTACAGTAATAAATATTCCCCCTCATCAATCTCAACCGGGAGCATCTTAAATCTGAGCCGGTTTAACTTGTGAAGGCATATGCAGCTTGTGCAGTTGTGCCATGCATGTGCTCCAGCTCTATGCCAGAAATTGCTTATTTTCTTCAGTTTCTATATTGAATTTTGAGTTTCAGTTTCAGCTAAGTTTCTCATGTGCTTCAGTTTCAGTTCTGCTCCAGTTACTGTGTGCATGCGTCCGTTGAAAGTATGTCGTATTGCCACTTGATTGTACGGTAGGGAGTTCCTTTCTGGACTGTAGTTTCAAAAAAAAAATTTGTAGTTTCAAAAAATGGTTCCTTTCTGGAGTATGACAGCTCAAACTGTCCGGATGGTAAGGAAACCAACGCAGGGGAGGTAAAACACAATCGAACACTGACACGCTAACTAACTACAGAGCAGTTAACTACGGGTCCAGCAGCACATGTACCAACACAGGGTTTGTTATATGCGAATCACAATTTGATGCATTTGGACGGCGGTTACTGTTCTGATGCGCTGGTCCTATAAGGTCTTAGCACGACGACTTCCTGACTGTCTACTATAACAAGTTGTGCCCGATTCCGGCGAGGGAGAGGTGATAGCGGCGGCGCGCCTTCAGCTCGCTTCAATGCTGGTAGTCTCTAGGTTGTCTACGGATTTTAATGTAATTTTTAATATTTCTAGTGTTGGTTGTACTGTCATGATTGAAGATAAATAGACTGAAAGATTTTCCATCAAAATTAAAAATAAAAAAAAATAAAGAGAGATTGGTCGGCTCAGTTAGCAAGTACGTGCTCTACATAATCCTGGTTTTCGGAACTTTCCAAAAGGTTCATGACCAGTTTCTTTAGAATGTTGCACCAGTATGATTTTTTTCTACTTCTTTTTATTCGCTTTCTCTAGCTTTTCTCAATCTTTTGAATAATTCAAAACATGCTCGATTGTTTAAAGATCTTCTAATTTTCGGATTTTTTCAGAATTTTAAGAAATGTTGCATTTTTTCTAAAAATGCTCAGGATTTTTTTAAATGTTCTTGTTTTCAAAACATATTTGGCTCTATTTTAAAGAATGGACATGTTTTAAATAAATCGGTATTTTTTAAAAAATCATTCCCACTTTGAAAGAGAGAAATTGTCTACTTATAAAATGTTTGTTTAAAAAATTGTGCAGAATTTTAAAAAATCGGTTTTCCAAATAATGTTCTTAAAATTTTAGAAAATGATCATTCCTTTAGAAAAATGTTTTTTAATTGAATAAAAAAATGAAATAATGCTCACTGCAGTGCCTATTTATTTTTTTGCCAGAAAACTTTTGATCTATTCATTTCCAATCATGGCAATGCAACGAAAACCAGAAATAAGAAAAATTAGATCAGACCACCTAGCGACGACTACAAGCACTGAAGCGAGCCGAAGGCGTGCCGCCGTCATCGCCCCTCCATCGGTAGAGTCGAACACAACTTGTTATAGTAGATAGTCGGGAAGTCGTCGTGCTAAGGCCCCAGAGGACCAGCGCACCAAAACAAGAACCGCCGCCGATGAAGAATAACATAGAGCGGAAGGATCCAACCCAAAGACACACGAACGTAAACGGACAACGACAAGATCCGAACACATCCACCAAAGATAAATCTGCTGGAGACACAACTTCACACGTCCACCAACGATACTAGACGCATCGCCGGAATGGGGGCTAGGTGCGGAGACCTTTATTCCATCTTCAAGAAGCGGCCGCCGTCTCTATTTCAACAATGCGTCCGCTCACTGCAGTGTTCTCTATAGTTCACCGACCAAGTACAATGTGTCAGCCCAACCGGGAGTGCACTTGTGCAAAGCACTGACTGTCTGACGCAACACGCTTCGTATAGGAGGTCCCTGCTATAGGACTGTGCCCCCGCTACATGATATATACTGCCAGCCCATTGTCATAAGTTTGTCAAGACTTTGTTTCTTTTATTTTCATTTGTGTTGATTTTTTATTTCACTTTTATTTTAAAACTAACAAAGAAAAGTCAAACATATTTTCAATATATGTTTTTCAATTTCAAAATATATTTATGATATTTAAAAATTATTCATATATTTTTTAATATATTAACACATTAAAAATGCCCATCAAATTGAAAATAAGTTTTCACCAAATTTGAAGAAGTTTTCACGCTTTCTAAATAGTTATGTTGTTGAAAACCATGTTCAAGTATTTTCTTAAAATGTTCACACATTTCCAAAATATGTACATATATTTGGAAGTTCATGAAATTTAAACATTGTACGTGACATTTACAAAAAACATGCATTTTCTTAAGAAATGCACATGTATTTTTGAAAAACAATGTTTGTATAAATATACATATATGCTGGTTAACATTTATTCATACAAGGAAAAAATCTAGAAAAAAAATATCAGAAAAATAATAAAGTAAAAAAGAAATACCTGAACAATGAAGTAAACGAGAGAGAGAATGAAGTTTGTTGTTTTTCAGTTGGACGTTTTGTCTTCTTGTTTGGTTTGTTTCACGCTGGGATGGATAATTGTTCATGATTTCGGTGATGAAGTTTAGTTCTTTTTTCTTACAACCATCAAGCGGTAGGACAAGTGCGCAAGCCACGCGTCCCAGGCAACTGGCCTAGCTCGGCTAGCCCACACGCACCGGCATAGGCTTTCAATGGAGCTTAGTATTTTAGGAGATAGGTGAAAGTATAGCTAATCGAAACAACAAAATTTTAGCAAGAAAAACAAAGTGGACCCCCCCATCCCTCTTGTGAAACCATAAGAGGAAGGACGGCACCGCCGATCTACCTTATCACTGACGTGGTCACATGCCCTTTTCCCCTTCGTTCGTTGGTTCGGTGGGGACGTCTGTTTGGTGGTAGGATGAGATTTATAGTTTATGTTTTGGCCCCAGTCGTTGATGGTGAGGTGATGGCATTGCCATCGGCATGAAATAAGTCATCCCTGCCTCATCCTTGTTCCAATGGTGCTTCTAAATACATCATTGGCAGGCGTGTGAAGAATTTGTGTCTAGTTCTCGGGATTGGGGGTTTTCTTTTGCAAGGTTTGTCTTGATGGTGATGTCGTGCAGAGTGGATGAAGTGACTTTCTGCCCTGGTCCTTGGACTCTAGTTTCATCCATGGCCAGCTTCGGGCTCGCCGTGGAGCGTTAAGAGTTGTTTTCTCTGATTCCGGCTGGCGACTTGGGGCATTATACATGCCCTGTTTGGCATCTTTTCTTTGGGACGATGATTTGCTTGTTATCCTCGGCACCTTTTGGAATAAAATTTTGAGTAAATTGCTTAATGCAAAATGTATTGTCCCTTAAAGAAGTGGTAGTGTCTCGTCTATATGTGTTGTATATCTCCATTTACTATTCTTCAATGTGTTAAATCATAGAGAAAAATGTGAGATGTCAGTGTAATTTGTTAAGAACCATCCATAATGCAAGATATTAACAAAAATGACAATTAAAATGTTGCCCACGCATTTACGCAGACTGCTTTGCTAGTTTGGAGGAAAATAAATGAAATTACCAACTCGGTGTAGATTGAACAGCAAATTTCGTACACCACAATGACTTTTCTAGCTAATATTCCTCTAAATGAATTCTTCACATCGATGTTGTCGTGCTGGCAGGAGGGTTTGGCCAGGGGAGCTACGATGCGCTCTGTACTGTCCAAAATCTTTTCGTTCTCTAGGGGACAAGGAGTTGCTCGTTGTCTACCACAAGAAGGACAGCGTCTCTTCATCCTTCGCGGGCATGAAAAGTGACTCTTCGTCCGTCACAAGAACAACCGGGTCATAGAACTGAAAAATAATTAAACTGGGATATAGTTTTGAGACTTTGTAAATAAATTTAATATATACTAAAAAATCTGTATTATTGCACATGGGAGCCATTGATGGTTTTATCCATAGCCATTACTAGCCTATACCCGCGCGCGGCGCCTACTCCTAGATAATACTGTATATTGACGTATAATGCATAACTGTTGTGGCATCTAACATTCTTAAGAAGTTGCTCCCCACTTCTATCTATTCTTTCACCATGCACACCATTCACATCAGCTTTGTGCCACGTCATCATTCAGTTTGCAAAATCAGCCAATGAGCAAATGCTGCATCATCAATTATTTCCCATTTAAGTAATTTTTATTGGCATATGAGGTGCATGTGGTTGCCCAGTACTACTATGCAGACTTGAAATACTACCGAAGCCCAATGGTCCCTATTCGTAGTAATAAACAGAGAAAAGCCCGGCTCATTCTAAGGAGAACAACCGTCCTGCCCCCTGCTCCCCACCGTTCCCTCTCCCTCTTCCATAAATAAAGGCCCACGCTTTGACGTCCCATCCCCTTCCCCTGCCTCACTCTCCTTCCAATCAAAACAGGCGGTGGCCGCGGTGCTCTGCCAAATCTCCAGAAAATTAAA